TGAACCTTTATTTCGGCTACTGCCTTGCTCCTCCCTGAAATGTAGTCTCTCTCACAGTCCCTGAACCACATTATTTCTACTGCCTAGCCCTCCCTGCAATGTAGTCTGTCTCACAGTCCCTGAACCACATTATTTCTGCCTTTGCCACCCCCTGTAATGTGTCTTTCCACAGTCCTGAACCACATTATTAGTTCTACTGTTCTACTGCTGAACCATGTTGTTACTGTTTTGCCCTCCCTGCAATGTAGTCTTTTCACAGTCTAGCCTGAACCAAATGCATTATTCTCCTACAGTCTCCCGGTCCCACACTACCACATTATTTCTACTGCCCTAGCCCTCCTGCGTGTCAGTCTGTCTCACAGTCCCCTGAACCACATTATTTCTACTGCCTTGCTCCCTCCTGCAATGTAGTCTCTTTCACAGTCCGCTGAACCACGTTATTTCTACTGCCTTGCCCTCCTGCAATGTAATCTCTCTCACAGTCCCTGAACCACATTATTTCTACCTCCTAGCCCTCCCTGCAATGTAGTCTGTTTCACAGTCGCTGAACCACGTTATGTCTACTGCCTTGCCCTCTCTGCAATGAAGTCTGTCTCACAGTCCCTGAACCACATTATTTCTACTGCCTTGCCCTCGCTGCAATGTACAGTCTGTCTCACAGTCCCTGAACCACATTATTTCTACTGCCTTGCCCTCCCTGCAATGTAGTCTGTTTCACAGTCCCTCAACCTTTATTTCAACTGCCTAGCCCTCCCTGCAATGTAATCTCTCTCACAGTCCCTGAACCACATTATTTCTACTGCCTAGCCCTCCCTGCAATGTAGTCTGTCTCACAGTCCCTGAACCACATTATTTCTACTGCCTTGCCCTCCCTGCAATGTAGTCTCTTTCACAGTCGCTGAACCACGTTATTTCTGCTGCCTTGCCCTCCCTGCAATGTAATCTCTCTCACAGTCTCTGAACCACATTATTTCTACCTCCTAGCCCTCCCTGCAGTGTAGTCTGTTTCACAGTCACTGAACCCCGTTATGTCTACTGCCTTCCCCTCCCTGCAATGAAGTCTGTCTCACAGTCCCTGAACCACATTATGTCTACTGCCTAGCCCTCCCTGCAATGTAGTCTCTTTCACAGTCGCTGAACCACGTTATTTCTACTGCCTTGCCCTCCCTGCAATGTAATCTCTCTCACAGTACTTGAACCACATTATTTCTACTGCCTAGCCCTCCCTGCAATGTAGTCTGTCTCACAGTCCCTGAACCACATTATTTCTACTGCCTTGCCCTCCCTGCAATGTAGTCTCTTTCACAGTCGCTGAACCACGTTATTTCTACTGCCTTGCCCTCCCTGCAATGTATTCTCTCTCACAGTCCCTGAACCACATTATTTCTACTGCCTTGCCCTCCCTGCAATGCAGTCTGTCTCACAGTCCCTGAACCACAATATTTCTACTGCGTTGCCCTCTCTGCAATGTAGTCTCTTTCACAGTCGCTGAACCACATTATTTCTACTGCCTTGCCCTCCTGCAATGTAATCTCTCACAGTCTCTGAACCACATTATTTCTACCTCCTAGCCCTCCCCTGCAATGTAGTTCTGTTTCACAGTCGCTGAACCACGTTATGTCTACTGCCTTGCCCTCCCTGCAATGTAGTCTGTCTCACAGTCCCTGAACCACAGTATGTCTACTGCCTAGCCCTCCCTGTAATGTAGTCTCTTTCACAGTCGCTGAACCACGTTATTTGTACTGCCTTGCCCTCCCTGCAATGTAATCTCTCTCACAGTCCCTGAACCACATTATTTCTACTGCCTAGCCCTTCCTGCAATGTAGTCTGTCTCACAGTCCCTGAACCACATTATTTCTACTGCCTAGCCCTCCCTGCAATGTAGTCTGTCTCACAGTCCCTGAACCACATTATTTCTACTGCCTTGCCCTCCCTGCAATGTAGTCTCTTTCACAGTCGCTGAACCACGTTATTTCTACTGCCTTGCCCTCCCTGCAATGTAATCTCTCTCACAGTCCCTGAACCACATTATTTCTACTGCCTTGCCCTCCCTGCAATGCAGTCTGTCTCACAGTCCCTGAACCACAATATTTCTACTGCCTTGCCCTCCCTGCAATGTAGTCTCTTTCACAGTCGCTGAACCACATTATTTCTACTGCCTTGCCCTCCCTGCAATGTAATCTCTCACACAGTCTCTGAACCACATTATTTCTACCTCCTAGCCCTCCCTGCAATGTAGTCTGTTTCACAGTCGCTGAACCACGTTATGTCTACTGCCTTGCCCTCCCTGCAATGTAGATTGTCTCACAGTCCCTGAACCACAGTATGTCTACTGCCTAGCCCTCCCTGTAATGTAGTCTCTTTCACAGTCGCTGAACCACGTTATTTGTACTGCCTTGCCCTCCCTGCAATGTAATCTCTCTCACAGTCCCTGAACCACATTATTTCTACTGCCTAGCCCTTCCTGCAATGTAGTCTGTCTCACAGTCCCTGAACCACATTATTTCTACTGCCTTGCCCTCCCTGCAATGTAGTCTCTTTCACAGTCGCTGAACCACATTATTTCTACTGCCTTGCCCTCCCTGCAATGTAATCTCTTTCAGAGTCCCTGAACCACATTATTTCTACCTCCTAGCCCTCCCTGCAATGTAGTCTCTTTCACAGTCGCTGAACCACGTTATTTCTGCTGCCTTGCCCTCCCTGCAATGTAATCTCTCTCACAGTCTCTGAACCACATTATTTCTACCTCCTAGCCCTCCCTGCAGTGTAGTCTGTTTCACAGTCCCTGAACCCCGTTATGTCTACTGCCTTGCCCTCCCTGCAATGAAGTCTGTCTCACAGTCCCTGAACCACATTATGTCTACTGCCTAGCCCTCCCTGCAATGTAGTCTCTTTCACAGTCGCTGAACCACGTTATTTCTACTGCCTTGCCCTCCCTGCAATGTAATCTCTCTCACAGTACTTGAACCACATTATTTCTACTGCCTAGCCCTCCCTGCAATGTAGTCTGTCTCACAGTCCCTGAACCACATTATTTCTACTGCCTTGCCCTCCCTGCAATGTAGTCTCTTTCACAGTCGCTGAACCACGTTATTTCTACTGCCTTGCCCTCCCTGCAATGTATTCTCTCTCACAGTCCCTGAACCACATTATTTCTACTGCCTTGCCCTCCCTGCAATGCAGTCTGTCTCACAGTCCCTGAACCACAATATTTCTACTGCGTTGCCCTCTCTGCAATGTAGTCTCTTTCACAGTCGCTGAACCACATTATTTCTACTGCCTTGCCCTCCCTGCAATGTAATCTCTCACACAGTCTCTGAACCACATTATTTCTACCTCCTAGCCCTCCCTGCAATGTAGTCTGTTTCACAGTCGCTGAACCACGTTATGTCTACTGCCTTGCCCTCCCTGCAATGTAGTCTGTCTCACAGTCCCTGAACCACAGTATGTCTACTGCCTAGCCCTCCCTGTAATGTAGTCTCTTTCACAGTCGCTGAACCACGTTATTTGTACTGCCTTGCCCTCCCTGCAATGTAATCTCTCTCACAGTCCCTGAACCACATTATTTCTACTGCCTAGCCCTCTTCCTGCAATGTAGTCTGTCTCACAGTCCCTGAACCACATTATTTCTACTGCCTAGCCCTCCCTGCAATGTAGTCTGTCTCACAGTCCCTGAACCACATTATTTCTACTGCCTTGCCCTCCCTGCAATGTAGTCTCTTTCACAGTCGCTGAACCACGTTATTTCTACTGCCTTGCCCTCCCTGCAATGTAATCTCTCTCACAGTCCCTGAACCACATTATTTCTACTGCCTTGCCCTCCCTGCAATGCAGTCTGTCTCACAGTCCCTGAACCACAATATTTCTACTGCCTTGCCCTCCCTGCAATGTAGTCTCTTTCACAGTCGCTGAACCACATTATTTCTACTGCCTTGCCCTCCCTGCAATGTAATCTCTTTCAGAGTCCCTGAACCACATTATTTCTACCTCCTAGCCCTCCCTGCAATGTAGTCTGTTTCACAGTCGCTGAACCACGTTATGTCTACTGCCTTGGCCTCCCTGTAATGTAGTCTGTCTCACAGTCCCTGAACCACATTATGTCTACTGCCTAGCCCTCCCTGTAATGTAGTCTCTTTCACAGTCTCTGAACCACATTATTTTCCATACTGCCTAGCCCTCCCTGTAATGTAGTCTGTCTCACAGTCTTAGAGGTCATGACTCTAACAAAATAGTTTCATATCGTGTCAAAACTATTGTTAGAACCGGACTTATCGGTTACTTGTGCACGGATGACTTGCTGGTTCTAATACTGACTCAGGGCGAAACGCATAACACTGTCTTTTGTCCAACAATATGGCTGGCGGAGATTTAATATTACCACCAACCATGCCTGTAGGAGACGTACACGATCATCAGGATGGTATGCAAATAAGATTGTTTACTGGTGCATCTAACTTCTGAAAAAGCTTGTCCATTCATAAGATATCCAATTTATCATGAACTACCGAGATAGCCTGGGACCTTTTTTATTATGAACTGTTCATTTCATATAATTAGCTATGTTAGATTAAGTCCAATATGCTGTCATGCATGTAGTGGATGCACAATTATCTTGTCTTTTCACTGTTTCTGGTGCATAAACCATTTATGATAAGAGAGACGATAGGAGCAGCGAGTTCAGGTACATTCAGAATATAACATTGCACTTATAACCGACATTGCACTTATAACCGAGACTATTTTGCAATCCTGTATAAGAATAAGCGACACAAACATTACTCTTGATTTCATGGACAACTCGTTTGTTGAGGTGTCTGCACAGGACGTCGACCCTTGGGTGAAATGTCACGGTTCAGTTAAGAAAAAAAGGTCGACGTCCTGTCCATTTGACCTTATACCAATTAACAGGGGATTAGAAAAGACAAAGAAATAATCCAGTGTTTTCACAAGGCGATAATCCAGATTATGCGTTGAGAACACAGACAACAGGAGAAAAGTACTATAATTCGTCCATTTTATTTCGTATACAAAATCATCCAACATGAAGTAGGTGAGATGCACCATTTGCAAACTGGTTCATCTGAAAGATAGTAAAAGGAGATTTATTATTTCATTTTACACATTGTTTTACACAGACCTCGTTACACCACTCTACTGCTATATATAAATTGTTAGAATTGTTAACAAAATCTATTAAACGATATGCAAAACATGGTCACGTACATTATTCAGATTTGATATACCTATTTTACTTTTATATTTTCCTAAGTAACATATTGATATCAGGCATTGACAAGATGCTTACCTTTATGTCTACTTGGACACGGGGATGAGCATGGTCACCTTTCACCATCGTCACAATGTCATTGACAGTTGACACAGTGAAATTACACTTCTTTTCTGTGCACTTCCAGGATATCCAATTTTGCTTCACTCATAAATCCACAAAACACACAGGTATCTTCCACCACGAGATCCTTCCTTAAATATGTTCATCATTGTGAATTCAGTCTCATATGTATGATAACATTGATGACATTTTGAGTGAAATATGTTCACGCCTTACGCGATGCTTCGGTTATATCAAATCTTAAAACAACACCTACTAGCGGATTAGCGTGACTCTAGCAACGCCTTCAACATCAAAGTTTACCGCGGGTCGACTTCGTGTTTATAGCGAAATTTCAAAAGATCGACTTCTTGTCCATAAACCTTTGTTGATGTGTCGGAAAAACACAAACTATACTTAGATATATTTCAGAAATAGATCTAAATAGTCCCATAAGACTGTTAGAAGGGTGTTTATAAGATAGAAACCGTGCAGGTGTGTTTAAGATTGAAAGCATCCAGGTCTCACTGGGGATGCTGAGAAACCTGAGTGTTAATCACGGATAGATTGTCTGCACACATACAAATCATGATTGAAAGATTAAAGGACATGTATTGATAATATTACATGATTAGCAAATGTGAATGTAGATGAAATTCACCTATTGTCGCACAGACAGTATAACATGTGCATGTATATGTACTATAAACGCTAGTAAGCTGATACTGGTCATCGGGTGTTTCCGGCAGTTGGTTCGGAAATAAACTGTTGATAAACGACCGGGAGCGGCTAACTTGCATTGTGCTTGCTGTGGCGTTAAGTTATGTTTAGAGACACCAATCTGAAGGTGTTTATAAGATAGAAATTGGGCATTGTTTTTGATGAACATGTATATTTCTACAGATTGTAATTATTCACACGATATTAACATTTTAAGTGAGATGTTGCCCTGTTGAGATAATAACAATATTTATGTTGTTTAGTGTCGGACAACAAGTTAAAACATGCAGCACGGAGAGATTCTCCCCTTAAAAGGTATCTTCATCCTCTCCATGGAACGGCATTTCGCCAAAGTAGCGGCATATAAGCAGCAAGAAATATGTCGCTAGTTCCCACACTAATTATAAAATGCTCCTCTTATGAATGCGGAATGTAATAATAACTGAAAACTTACCTAAACCTCCAAACAAGTGTAGTTGTTCCTCCCCTGAATGTGGCTGTTCACTGATGTCAGTTCTATGTCACCCCGACACGGGCACTGACTCAACAAACTATGTTCTGTAATGTTAAAAGCGGCCTACACATATAGCTATGTGGCTGGCGACACGTGACGGTGCATCACCCTACAAAGGCTCCAGCTGCTCGCAATGTTACAGGGAAATGCGTACGTGTGAAAACTCGTTCTCTCAATGTGGAAACTCTCAAAATCAAAGGGGGTGGTGTGTGTGTGTGTTGTGTGTGTGTGTGGGGGGGTTGTGCGTGTGCGAGTGTGTGTGTGTGGTGTGGGGGGTGTGTGTGTGGGGGTGTGTGTCGGGGGGATATTAGCGGAGTTTTCAGCGTCCTTCTCCCATGTCCTGTCGGGAATAATTTTGGTGAATGCAACAGTGCATTTTGTTCTGCAATCAATGCTCCTTGTACTTTTTTTTTCATTTTGTTAACCACTCTCATCTTCTTAGTAACCACATATCCACTCTCATCTTCTTAGTAACGACATATCCACTCTCATGTATGATTGCATGCATCAGTGCATGTACGAGTGTGTAGTATCACAGTAACGGCATAACCAGTGTCAGCATCTTTGTAACGGCATATCCACTTTCACGAGTACATGTATGTGTGTATGTATGAGTGCATGTATGTGTGCATGCATGAGTGTATGTATGTGTGTATGTATGAGTGCATGTATGTGCGCATGCATGAGTGCATGAATGAGTGCATGTATGAGTGCATGTATGAGTCTATGTATGAGTGCCTGTATGAGTGCATGTATGAGTGCATGTATGTGTGCATGTATGAGTGCATGTATGTGTGCATGCATGAGTGTATGTATGAGTGCATGTATGAATGTATGTATGAGTGCATGTATGTGTGCATGTATGAGTGCATGTATGAGTGCATGTATGAGTGTATGTATGAGTGTATGTATGAGTGCATGTATGAGTGCATGTATGAGTGCATGTATGCGTGCATGTATGTGTGCATGTATGAGTGCATGTATGAGTGTATGTATGAGTGTATGTATGAGTGCATGTATGAGTGTATGTATGTGTGTATGTATGAGTGCATGTATGTGTGTATGTATGAGTACATGTATGTGTGTATGTATGAGTGCATGTATGTGTGTATGTATGAGTGCATGTATGAGTGCATGTATGAGTGCATGTATGAGTGCATGTATGAGTGTATGTATGAGTGCATGTATGAGTGCATGTATGAGTGCATGTATGAGTGTATGTATGAGTTTATGTATGAGTGTATGTATGTGTGCATGTATGAGTGTATGTATGTGTGTATGTATGAGTGCATGTATGTGTGTATGTATGAATATATGTATGTGTACATGTATGAGTGCATGCATGAGTGCATGTATGAGTGCATGTATGAGTGCATGTATGAGTGCATGTATGAGTGCATGTATGAGTGCATATATATGTGTTTGTATGAATATATGTATGTGTACATGTATGAGTGCATGCATGAGTGTATGTATGTGTACATGTATGAGTGCATGTATGAGTGCATGTATGAGTGCATGTATGAGTGCATGTATGAGTGTATGTATGAGTGTATGTATGAGTGCATGTATGTGTGTATGTATGAATATATGTATGTGTACATGTATGAGTGCATGTATGAATATATGTATGTGTACATGTATGAGTGGATGTATGAGTGTATGTATGAGTGTATGTAAGAGTGCATGTATGTGTGCATGCATGAGTGCATGTTCGAGTGCATGTATGTGTGTATGTATGAGTGCATGTATGTGCGCATGCATGAGTGCATGAATGAGTGCATGTATGAGTGCATGTATGAGTCTATGTATGAGTGCCTGTGTGAGTGCATGTATGAGTGCGTGTATGTGTGCATGTATGAGTGCATGTATGTGTGCATGCATGAGTGTATGTATGAGTGTATGTATGAGTACATGTATGTGTGTATGTATGAGTGCATGTATGAGTGCATGTATGAGTGCATGTATGAGTGTATGTATGTGTGCACGTATGAGTGCATATATGGATGTACCTACATACGTAAGTATGAGTATTTGATGTGTATACACCACATATACACAACAATAGTTTACCTGCAATGACAAAGTATACACATCACAGCATCAACGTGACAGACATGCGCCCTATTATCTGACACGGTACTTGATATCATGCAATGGTAAATTAACACTAAATAAATAGTTAATTTGCAAAGCTGACTAATCCCAACGAAACTGAAAATGATACATTAAAGATCTGTACTAAACATACAGTGTTGTATGGAGTTCCGTGCATTGTAATATTTATAACACAGTATTGTTGCCTAACATTTGGGGTGAATACCTACATTGTGTCCGTATGGATGTTTTCTGTATGTTTGATATGAAGAACAGCTGTCTCTCACGTGTAACAGAGGAAGTTAGTAATCCATGCGTTTTCACACAACTGTTGATTGTGTGGTTTCTTTAATACCTGGAATTAGTCAAGTATACCTAAGTTAATGCTACCATGCAAAGCTGTTGCACAGATAAATACATATCACATGGCAATTCTCTGTATAAAAAGTACTTGCAGAACAGATATCTGAGAAACATTTCAGTGCAAATAATCATGTGGGCATATTGCACATGATTAAATTTGTCCCATATAATTTGATATTTCTTTTTAATCAAGATCACGCACACACGCACACATGCATACAAGCACTCACGCAAGTATGAGGTGTCACTGCAATGAGCAGTCTGATACGAACACCTACAGTTTGAAGATTGGTATTAAGATGAACCGAAATGTGTATTATATCATGTCGTACCAAAATGGAAGCACCTCCAGTTGCTTTATCTCTTGGGGAAGAGTGATAATCGCTGTACCGTCTCAGATGAAAGTTATCTCTATTTCCTTAGATATGGCTCCTGGAGACATAATGGAAATCCTGTATAAGTAACTGTGTCTAGGTGAAATTATTTTTGAGTCTTCTCCAGTTCCATAGCATTATAGTGGACAACCGAGTCATGGTAGCTCAGCTGGTGAAGACAGAGTAACCTCCGTGTCTAGAGGACAACCGAGTCATGGTAGCTCAGTTGGTGAAGACAGAGTAACCTCCGTGTCTAGAGGACAACCTAGTCATGGTAGCTCAGTTGGTGAAGACAGAGTAACTTCCGTGTCTAGAGGACGACCTAGTCATTGTAGCTCAGTTGGTGAAGACAGAGTAACCTCCATGTCAAGAGGACAACCGAGTCATGGTAGCTCAGTTGGTGAAGACAGAGTAACCTCCGCGTCTAGAGGACAACCGAGCCATGGTAGCTCAGTTGGTGAAGACAGAGTAACCTCCGTGTTTAGAGGACAACCGAGTCATGGTAGCTCAGTTGGTGAAGACAGAGTAACTTCCGTGTCTAGAGGACAACCTAGTCATTGTAGCTCAGTTGGTGAAGACAGAGTAACTTCCGTGTCTAGAGGACAACCGACTCATGGTAGCTCAGTTGGTGAAGACAGAGTAACCTCCGTGTCGAGATGACAACCGAGTTTTGTGTTGAAACCTCTGAAGGTGATGGGACATTAGCAGGTTTGTCTCCACTTAGTTATTTCCCTTTCCTCTTCTTTGGTTGATCACTGGCTGGTTTTGAAGTTGATGATTGTGATGGTGCATCGAGCTGAGTGACTCCGGAAGTAGGTGGAGTAGGCAATGTGGCTGATGTACCAGGTTGGAAGGTGTGACATGCAGTAGAGGACATTGCTACAGAGCGGATGACTGCAGCGGAATATGCGATATTATCAGGAGTTGAAGACTGATTAGTGAACAGTTTTTTCACATCAAGGTATGAACTATTCTCTTCAC